GCCACCAATTTAGTTTTCTCCCCGCTCTGAACTCCGCCGTCCTCCTCCGCCCTCGGTTTTTACTCGGCCCGTGTTGTTCATCAAATAGTTTGCTGAATTTTTTTGATACATCAATGGATGCTATTTTCTTAACATTACGGTGGGAGCATACGACTGTAACACAGAAAACGCGGTTTAAACTGTCGTTGGAGATCGCGGCCGCCGCCATGTTTCAATGTTGTTGACAGACCACAGGGCAAACGACGCACGCGCTCAACGTGAATATCGCGAGAGTTTGCACCGATGTAAACCCTCTACACAAAAATGTAGAGGGTTGTTTGAAAAAAATGACTGGCCAACCAGTCAGAGACTAAGAGCCAATTTTTTTACTATGTTACTGCAAAGAGCCACATCATGCACATTGGCACACATAAGCATCACCCCATCCCTTCCTCACGCACACACATGCACACACTCACACAAACCTACCTCTGCTAAGTGGTAAATGTCACACACCAACATGATAATGACAGAAATTGACTCCTACAGGCCAGTCATTTGCAACAATGAATATTGTGCGCACTGTCTCACACACACAAACTCTCAGTTCGACCAAGTCCACAAACAAAAATATAAGAATGTTTTTCTCTGACTATGCATGTTGCTTAGCACCTTAGTGCAGGGACTTCTGGCATTTCTTCTCTTGGAACAATGCTCTTCAAATCTGGCTTGCATTCCGTTGTTGCCACTCAAAGCAAGCACGATCTGCATGCGAGCTGGAGCGGTTACTTACTACTCGGGTCAGCCTGACACAGGGCAAACTTTTTTGCCCGAAGATCGACTTTTGAAGCAACCAACTACCCATGATGAGCAACAGCCGGCCCGAACATGAACGAAACCGAAACACACAAATCCCCCCCCCGCCATTTCCTCCTCCCACCCCTTGCGGTCGACTTGGGACTAGTTCGCTGGCTTCCGGTTGATTGCGATCGATGTATTGGGCACCCCTGCCTTAAAATCGGAGGCAATTCCCTGACTAACTTAGCGCCGTTGTTTGCGCATGAGCAGCGATTCAGTTGTCATCTGACTGGTTGCCCTGTATGTACAGGTATGATAGGCTGACGTAGTAACTTCTGTGTATTTAGCGCCATTGTTTGAATGGCAGTGTCACCGCCGAGGCGTTTTCGACGCTTGTCATGTGAAAGCCCGGGAGCCGCATTGAACCGCCAAAGAGCCGCATGAGGCTCGCGAGCCGTGGGTTGGCCACCCCTGATCTCAGTCTTTTAAAGCATTTTTTAAATCATTCATTCTTTTCCCAAATGTTGTTCTTGCACTCTTCAGTTTTTTTTAAGATAACTTTTATTTGTCCCACACTGGGGAAATTTGCAGTCTACAGCAGCAAAATTGGGGGGGTAGAAAAGTTGTTTTATAAGTGACTTTTTTACTCCTTTATTTTGATTATAAATTTCTAACTATTGTTTTGTTTGTCAATGCTTTTAATTATGTGAAGCATAGTCAGTTACTTGGTTTATGAAGAGTGATATATAACGCAACCTTGCATTGCTTATTGACTTGAAAGTCAATGAGCATCACGGACATCTGTCTGAGAAGCAACGTGTGATTTCCAAAGCAAATTGACAAGGTGGCGGTCACTTTGTGTGACGCTTGCGTCATACCAGACTTGATGGGGTAGTCCTTGAGGTGAGCGTCTCCGTTGCGCAGGTCCAGGCTGGAAGGCGGGTAGCCCACCATGATTTTCTGCACCTCGCAAGGGATGCCGGTCAGCTCCTCCACTTTGCTTTTTAACTCTTGCACGCATGATTGGTGAGTCAACCCTTGCATCACGTGACTCCCGTTTTTGGTCTTACAGCGAAGACGCAACATCCTGCCTGACAGGTGGGACAAAAATACGGAAGATTGACAACAGCAACAATGACAGTTTGAACATAAAGTTTATGATGCTCTTCTAACATGACACACCCATATGACTTTTTTTTTTTTCAAATCCAGAATATTACTTTTTGCTCAATGTTATCCTTTTTTGAAACATTCAGAGTTTTTTTTTCTAAAAACATTCAACATTTTCCTTAAAAATTACACTAACTTCTAACAATTCAAATTTGAACCTGTGGTTACAAAGTGCAAATATTTTTAACATGTACACGGGAACTACAGTTTCCAGCATTTAGTCGGGGATGGCGAACACGGAAGGATTATAACCTAAAAATCACCGCCTAGATTTAATACGTCTGCTCCTTTCATTTCAACGTGCACATGGAACTTTGTGCTTGTGTTAGGTACAACAAACCATTGGAGAAGATTCGCCGGGCGAATGAATTTCAGGTGTGATTTTTATGTCTATGGGGGATACAACACCTCATTATTATTATATAACGCTGTATAAGTCAGGCAACATTTAGCTTTACCTTTTTTCTGAGCAGTACGTACGTGACGTGCGGTTGGACCGTTGCTGGTGGTCAGTAATAATTTTAGCACAGGCATGATACATTGTTCAATGATTCGATATTTTTATCTTAATCTGCATTCATGTTGTTCATGTTATTTCTACCATTTTTTTGCAGCACATAATGCGATGCGGTTCCCATGCAGTGGGAAGTCGAGGGGTTGAAATAACATGATGGGTTGATGGATGTAGTGAGCGAAGATATGAGGGCAGTTGGTGTTAAAGAGGAGGACGGAGAAGATAGACTTCGGTGGAAAAGAAGAACACGCTGTGACAAACCCTAACGGGACCAGCTGTAGGGAAAAGAAGAAACAATACCAACCAATACAATAACAAATGGGCATCCCTGCGAAGCGTGAAGGCAGAGGTTTTATGTCAACCTTTTCTTTTAGTCAAATTATTTGAGTAATATGAGTGTTTCAGCCCAACTATTGTCTGCTACAACCGCTTTGTTTTGCTTCCTTTTTGCATGCTCGCAAAACAACTTCGATTTTGTCACAAGAGAAAGAAGAAACTTATTCGAGTTATGACAATTAACTGTGGGGTGGTGGGGGAAAATGTGTCAAGCGAAGCTAACATTATAACCTGTCCGTGAAAATTCATGGTTTTTTTGCCCTACGGATAGCCATCTTTGTCTTTGCATCACACAATCGCAGTAATAAACAACCTTTTCACCTCAAATATATTACTTTTTTTCTTGAAAATATACAATATTTTCTGAACAATGCACCCCCCAAAAAAAAGTTTATCGAAAAATACACATTTCGAGATATGCCACTTTTAAAAACATTGCTGTAATTATACTTTTTTTTTTTTTTTTTGTAGAAAAAGTGTAGTGTGCCCCCTTGAAACCACAAACCACACATATAAAAAAATACCGAAAAAAAACCCTCTCAGTTTTGGGCTTTTCTATAATATATGACTTTTGTTAACTATTTTCCCCCTTGAAAAATGTTTTCTTTCTTCTCCCAAAAAAAAAAAACTTTTTCCCTCACAAAACACAACAGTACGCCTTTTCTTCACCATTTCCCTGGAAAGCATTTAAATAGAGATTTCGCAGAACACAAAGTTTAAAATGTATGTAAAGACTATTATTTAATTTAGAAAGTTGTGACACTACTGTTTACCAAACTGACGATGACAAAGCGCGAGTGCGCATACATAAACACAAAAACGACCTGACAGCAAGATTGCTTTGTTTTGTTTTGTTTTGCTGCCCTTTTGTTCAGACGCGGTACTGTTGCTTGAACATGTTAGCAGGACAACTTGCATTTCACATACCTTGCGTTTATGCGTCAAATAAACTTATTCGAATTACCATTATTATAATGATTACTGATACGAACCTAAGGTTTTAGTAGGTGGGGAATGTGTGTCGAGCGAAGCTATCCTGTGCTAGCATGCTAACCTGTGCATTAACTTAGCGTTCAGTAGACATTTTATCTCCAAGCGGTCATTTTCATCCTGTTCTCGTCCTCGACACGAGCGAGCTCATTTTACTGACATCCGCGACAACTTAACTGCCCGCTATATATTTTTTTTGTTACCTGTATTTGCCCGTTCCCAGCTCGTCGAACAATGCACACACACACAACTACGGGGCGGGACGAGACGTCAAAAACGTATGTTTGACGTCATGACGTGCTACTACCGTAAGTTCTCTAATAGCTCACTATTAGATTCTTGCGGTGATATTTGGCAACCCGTATGCCCATTTTAAATAAACAACCTCAGACGCTTCGTCATGCAGTCAAAGTTGAAGTAAATGTACAAAAATATAATTATTACTATCAATAACAATAATAGTAATAATAATGAGGGGAAACTATGCCTTTCGAACTTTATCCTTCCCCCAAAACCCGTATTCACAAGAACTCTAAGCAGTTCTTCCTCAATGTTCACAAACACTACCTGAATAAAGACATTTCGTCCTCAAGTGCGACTATCATAAACAACATTAAAGTACAGTGTAAGACTCTGTTCACCAAAAACAATTAGGACGTTCTATTACCATAACATTAAATATTACTAGTCGGTCACTGTAGGATTATGCCTTGCAAAAATAAAATAAAAATAAGAACCATAAAAATCTACTTAAATAACGATTAAATTAAAAATGTGTACGTAAAAGCTGTACTGTACGTAAAAGTGATAATGAGTAAATTAAAATTTGTGTCGTTTACGCCACAGTTGACTCAACTTTATTTATAGAGGCACTTAAAAAAAACAATTGCTGCACGCAAATTGTTGTACAGTACACGGAGTAAAATTAGACACACCAAAAAAAAGACAGTTAAAACACAGTGATAACAAAAACACTATAACACAATTAGAATAAAAATGTGTTTGAAACTGCTCCTTGAACTTTAACCAAGTGATTCTGTCACATACCACTAAAGCAGTGGTTCTGAAGCTGGGTTCGATCGAACCCTATGGGTTCGAATCAGTCTCAGGGGTTCGATGGAGCCTCAGCCATGGAGGTTAAAACACACTCGACTCAACATGTCAATTAGTTATGACACGCCCGCCTGGCCATCACTGGCTGCAGATGATCACATTGCTTGTCCAATCAGTGCTGCGTGAAATTCAGTTCGCTCAGTTTTTAACGTGTGACTGTCGTGACAGTACGTCATGCACGGTTCATTTTGTGCAGTTAACAACAATTTACACGTAGCTTGTAAAATCTGGTGTTGGACCAAAGACAATGTTTTCAATAAGAGGATAAATATGTCATTAATTTGAGTTTGTACACAAGGAAAGAAAAAGAAAATGGATGGTTGGATAATAAGATTCAACAAAACAGTCAAAATTGCGATACAAGTTATTTAATATTTTATTTACATGACAAAAAGATGTGCAAATACAAGCGGGTTTGACAATAAAAACGCAATTACGAATAATCTATGCTTTCAAATTCAATCCCTTTTATCAGATGAAAAGGCACAAGTCTTTGCATCCAACAGTCTTCCATGATTATTCTGTCATGCAATGAAAAGCATTGTCATAATATAAACATAATCGATACTTGATTTAAAAAATGGGGAAACAATTAAATCAAGTGTTTAATTAAATGGCAAGCCAACAGTAAATAAATACAACATAGCGATTAAGAACCTTATTTTGATGTAATGACTGTCTATTGGGGTGTGTCCAGGTTAGCCAGTTAGTCTGCATGTGAGCGACTGGGCGCGAGTTGTGGCATAAAGCAGCTCCTTGTGTTTTTTTTTTTAAATAATAAACAATAAATGGCTGAAAGTGTACTGCCACCTGTGATTTTCCTTACCTATTTGCAGAGCATTACAGTACCATTTCACTTCAACGAGCAGCAGCGGTGCATCTGAAGCTTGCTCTGACCACAAATTTTCACTTGCAACACACAAGAAAAGCAACCAAGCGTAGGCTCATAATTTGAAAAATATAAAGTGAGGCACTTGTAAGTCAAGATACAGTACTACTACAGTATGTCTATATGCAGTAAATAAAGTGTTGCCTTGAGATGCGAGTTTAATTCGTTCTGTGAACACACTGTTGTCGCCCGCAAAAAAAAAAAATAATAATCCTGTTTTTTTTTTTTTAAACAAGAAAAATACTATACTTATTTTTCTTTAATTAACTCATTGCCAGCTATTTTGAAACCCTTCTTTATCCTACCATGTAAAGATGTACCCGGGATTGAATGCCTGGATTCTTAAAAAAAAAACGTGAAAAACGTTTTTGGCATTGAATGAGTTCACCAAGTTTAAAAAAACAAAACAAAACCCCTCATTGAGTACTCTACTATAATACTGTACTGACATTATTGATATTACAGATACAACTCAGTAAACTGCAGTTGTAATAGTCTTTTTTTTTTTTTACAGAAGGAATATGTGCTTGTGAGTATTGTTAAGAGTTTACATGTCTTGTTGCACTGATGGTGTTCAAATTGCTTGAAAGGTTGGAACACTGCGGCATCAATGCTAATGTCGTTAGCCTGTCTATGGCATTTTGTATTGTGTGTTAGCATTAAGATAGCAGACATTCAAGGCAAATGTATTTGGTTGTTTTAAATATGCAGTGTGAAACTGTCATTGTTTGATATTTTATTTGACAGTAAACATCAATTGGGCACGCCAATCAACAGCTTCAAGCTTCTTTTTGAAGAATTGACGCTCTTCAACCATCTCGTGCTCCTATCTTAAATTTGCTGGCAAGTCAAAGCAAAAGAATTGGCCTAGCCACGGCACATACAGTATCTTGAAAAACCCGTATGTCAAGGCACCATTGTACATATTTTGTGCTAGGACGTTTGTTTTTTAAACTTCATTCAGAAGCGGACACAGCCGCTCGTTTCTTCAGGGTTGTCAAAATCGATTCCTTCACACAGAGAGCCCTGCAAAGCAAAACATTTGTAAGTGAAAGTCCAAAGTGCCACAATTTCTGTGAGTGCAAAGGTGACAGAGGCACACTTGTAATGAGATGTGTCTAATAAAGGGATGAAGAGGAAAAAGAAAGCTTGGCTGGATGTCATCCAAAATACTCACAAACAGCCGCTTCCTATGCGAGGCTGTAAGGTTAAAAGAGAGAACCAGAGACAAAGAATAGAAATGTAGAGACAACAACGAGACAGACGTACTGATATGAACATGCTTTTCGTGAATGCAAACATTTTCAGTTGAGTTTAGAATCCTGTTGGTTCATGAACATACATGCAGACAAACAAAAATATGGCAAATCACAAGCTTTATTTTCTTTACCGGTACTTATGTGAGCAATTTGTGTTCTCTTTTTGCACGTCAGGAGGACAGTGTTTCCCTTCCACCCAAAAAATGATATGGTCTCATTATCTAACCCCAGGGGTTACTCAATCTGAATTGGCGGCCCCGGGCCACATCCAGCCCACCAGCTGCCTCACTGCCCCCCCAAACTGTTATAGCCCTTTCCAAGATGGGATGCGATCAGTTTGGCGCGCACATGACGGACCCATTCAGAGCATTAAATTCAACTATTAAGCAGTCAGTCAGTAAAGTCCAGCTAAGCAGTGCGCCTCGCTGTTGGCCTCCTACGATGTCCTAGAAACAAACGAAAGGGAGTTTCTGAAATTGGACGCCGGACCCGAAGGACAAACTATCTTAGTGCTCGCTAGGATGAGGATAGTACAACACTATGGGGATGGATTTAACATGAGAGAAAACAATATCCTGGGCTCTGCTGTTAGCTAGGGAGAGCACGGGATCCTGGAGATCAATGCGCCAGTGTCTTCTATACTCCTATATGTTTGAATAAAATAAGTCAATATGGCTCTGCAAACGTATGATGTAGATAAAGCACCAAATACCGGTAAGTGAACTTCATTTGATTTTTCGAGTGCTGGACTATGATGTGTTAATTCAGAAAAGAGCAAGAAGCAAATTGATTCGACGATCATTCGCTGACGTTAGCAGGAACGGTGAGTGGAGATTTTGAGTGCAAGTCTGAGCTCTGGTAATTACAGCGTTTTCCCTTATGTTTATTAGTCGTATTTACGCATATCAATTATGAAAAAAGATACTTCCCATTACCTGAAGTGGTGCCCTTCCTTCCCTCTTTCAGAATTAAAACACAAAGCAAAGGGAGTGCTTTGTTAACTGTGTGGATTTTGCTCATTTAACCGTTTTCTTCATCTATCCCTTTTGCAAGTGCACTACAGTATTTGATTATTGCTATGATTTGTCTGATGTTTGGGTACACTTATCAATCCGCGTTTGGTTATTTCTTTTCTTAGAAAGCACACAGTGAAACATGGGAGGGGTGGGGGATAGTTGTAGATGTGACGACTGGGATGGGAGGTGACTGGTTAACAACACGGCCGGCGGGTGAGGCGACACTGACTTGGCTTGACCGTCCCTCGGGCATCAAAGCCGACGGCGTGGGGGCGAGGGGCAGCCAGGGCTGGTTGCCGGCACTGTACAGCCGGGGACGCTTGACCTGGTCGTGACTTGATAAGGGTGTATAACTATTTCGCCGGAGTAAGAGGGTGGAGTCCTTGGGGATTTGACCCTGGTGGGTGCGGGGGGGGGAAAAGAAAATGTATAGCTGGGAGGAGGGAGGGGGTGCACAGCTGGGATACCTCACTGGACACACTTCGAATTTACAAAAAGGAGGAAGAATGGAAAGTAATAGAATCAGGATGCAACCGGAGCGATTGCTGGTATTGTCATCCTTTCCAAGCCAAGTGCGGCAGCATGGCCAGCCATAAACTCTCATTAAAGCTAATCATCACCTCAACAAAATGCAACATTCCACAACGAGGAAGGAAAGGAAGCAAAAGAGGTGCAATAGCAACAGTCGTTAGACTTTAGAATAAGTATGGAGATGTAGTTATTTTAGGGAGGTCCTCGGCTTGCAGTGGAATTTTTATGGTGGCAATGTAATCCAAATTTATACCGTGTACAATTCGGAATGTGAAACTACACTTACCCAGTAATGAAGTCATAAATACAGTAAATATTTGTGTGAAACATTCGTAAGCCATGAATATAAAACATTTGTTAAAAACAACAACAAAAAAAAAAAAAAAAAAAAAAAAAAAAAAAAGGGCTCGTTCATTTGTGCCATTGATTACGTCCAAACTTCATGATGGGGACTCTATGTAATGCAGATTACATTTCGGCATAAAAACATAAATTCAAGAAATTCCTGTTGCGTTTGTATTAACAAACCTGTCGTCTAGCCGAGTGCTTCCCAACTTTTATTCACGCAAGTAACACCTTTTCCATTACAAAAATCTAACGGCACACCCCCCAGCCCCCAAAAAAGTCTACTACTAAACTAATGATGCTCTCGTTTAAGTTTTCTCACAAATTTAACTTACTCTGTGTGAAATCTGGGCCTGTTTAGATGTAAACGATATACTCACAAGTGGTCTGTCGCGATGCGTGTTCACTGCCTCCACATTCAGATAAAACATTTCCACTTTACAGCCTGGAAGGGGCGAGCGAGCGAGCGAGAGAGAGAGAGAGAGAGAGACAGACAGACAGACAGACAGACACACGCGTGTGCGCGCGCGCACACACACACACACACACACACACACACACACACACACACATACACACAAAGTTAAAACAGTAAGCCCCTGCTACCTGCTCTACAATGAAAAAAAATGAGCAATTGACTCCCCCGAAAAATTTATCTAATAAGTAGTTTCACTGTGAATACACAACAAACTATAATTCCAAAACACATAAATAGGATTTTGATCTAATTTTACAAAAGTAAACAGTAAACAGTTCAGATATGGTTTAAGTTGAGATAAAAAATGAGCCAAAGTGTGCATGTACATGTGGCAAGGCCTCTCTCCATACCAGGTTAAACTCCCTAGTACGAAGCTCCTCCCTGGCAATCAAAGATGTTCGTCTCTCAGTTGAGATTTAATATTTCATCCTATTCCTTTAGACCGATTCTTACTTTCCTGTTAGCCGCGGACTTAGTGCCATCTGAGAACGGCGATTGAAAGAGCACTAAATTGCAAATAGCTGAGTTTTTCAGAAGAAAAAAAAAAGAAAAAAAAGGTGAGTTTGCGAATAACATTGCACAAATCAACCGCAGTTTACTGTCAATTAAAAATAATCATAAAGATGATCTCTACCATATGCCACTGGCGTAAGTTTGAGGACTGTGTGGAGCGGACATTTCATGTAGGGCAGATCCTCTATGGCGGGAACAAAACGAGGACATAATCAGCATCACAGTCAGCATGTGGGACCGGCGCCGCATAAATAAAGTGTCAAGCGCCTCGGACTGCACACACCTGCACTTTTGTCCAGGAAGTAGGCCAGCAGACAGCGCATGACTGCCTGGTGGCAGACCACCAGCACGTTGCCTTGTCTCTCCAGCTCCATGATGACCGGCTCGAGACGCTGGACCAGGTCCTGGTACGACTGGAGGAGCATGCAAGGTCACCTCTAGGGGTTTATTTGAATCAGACATGCAGAGAGCTCATCTTTTGTAAAAAAAAAATAAATAAATAAAATAAAATAAAATAAAATAAAAATCGTCAAATCTTTAGAAATGCACAGGCAGTGTTTTGAGTCACTTTTGAACATGCTCACCTTTTGAAGACGCCTGGCAAGACACACACACACACACACACACACACACACACACACACACACACACACACACACACACACACACGCGCGCACACACGCACATACATACATTCAAAACAAACTGCATTTAAGGTTAGTTTTTGTTTGAAATGAATCATTTTTTTCAGCGCAAACTATTTCCAAAAAGTAAATTATTTCTAAAAGAATCCTATTTTTTCCAGAGAAAATTCAAAAATTTGTTTTCTTTTAGTTTGACGAAAAAACACTGCGTCAGTTAGAATGCTTTGAACGCCAACGTTTCTATAACTTTTGAAGAAATAGTTCACCGGATGTTTTGTGGTCCATCTCCAATCTTTTATGTTAAGAGTGTTGGACTTAGGAGAGTCCATGGTAAGGATGTTTTGTGCTTTGGGTGTGGCAGGTGTATTCAGTCACCTCTCCGCCTGGGTAGCGGTAGTGATATTTGTCTTGGTCCCTCAATGCAAACTCCTCTGGGAACGCCCTTTGGATCATTTCGTAGGTCATCTCCTCGCACACACCCTGGAAAAAAAAACCAACACAAAATACCTTCACATACGACATTTTATTGCAAGCTGCCGGATTGGACATTACGCTGCTGACCGCATCGATTTCGTTGAGTATCTTCCACTGTTCGTAGGGGACGGCCAGTTCCTCCGCCGTCTGTATGGTGCGTCTCAGCTGGCTCGTCCACACCTTCAAGTCAGACAGCTCATGCTCCTCAATGAACCTCCGCAGAGCCCGGGCAAACTAAAAAAAAAGTTCAATAATTGATCAATAAATAGACAGTAAATACCTCATAAAAAGATAAATAAATTGTGCCATATCTTACGGTGACGGCGTAATTAACTTGCGGTTCATTAGCATCCTAATTAGTGACTGAATATGATTTAGGGATGGCGATGTGTTGAAGTTGATACCAATTGTTTAACGGAAAGCCGAATTGTCGAAAAGACAACTGAAGCCAATCGTCACGCTATCATGAGGGCCAACTTCAAAATAAAGCTTTAAACAGGCTAATGCACTGGCGCCAATGTATTATTTGGTAAGCTTTTATTTGGAAGTTAGCGTTTGTGTTGGCAGTGTGTTACGTTATGAGCATGTTTGCAGCTTCCTTGACATACATAAAAGACCGAAGGCAGAAAAAAAACAGTTCTGTCATTAATTTTTTGTTTTTAAATTTTTTTTATTTGATGTACCCAAAGTACTTAAGAAGTCATAAAAATGTATTAGTATTACAAAGTGCAAGATAGAAATAGAACAAGAGTGGGTACGGTGGGTTCATGTGAAGTCCCGGTATGCCATAAAAAGTCCCGGTAGAGGCTGAAATTGAGAAGTGATGGTATTCCTTACCGCTGCGTACTGACCCACTTAAAGCATTGCTGCTGTTCTTTTAATGGTGTGACAAATGAACAATCACACTCTATACTATTGTACTTTATAAAAAACAAACAGTAATTATGTTTTTTCAATACAGTGTAAAGAATTCAACACGTTTTGACACATTTTTTGCTTCAAATCAATAGCCTTGCATAGAGACAGTCACAGCTCCTCAGTGAGGTGCAGTGACATTAGTCATTCTTGGCAGAGGATAAATAATATGTGCCTGTGAGTTTTGTTACCAGTTTCCCACGGGGAGAGAGTTCTGAATCTCCTCCGATGCGCCCCTCGACGTTATGGTCACTCTCGCCATGGCGACACAGGTAGATGGAGTGGGAGTGCACGTGGATGTTCATGAGATAGTAGACGATTTTACTCTGGATGTAGTCCTGTACCCGGTTCACCAAAAAGCGGCGGCCCACATTCATCACTTTAATGAAAGACAGGTCCCTGTGGAGAGAGTGGTTCAGTGTCATCCTCTAGTGGCTGTTTGCCGAACTTGAAAGATGACTATTTGGTAACTTTGATTTCTCACTACAAAGCAAAGCAATGTGATTCCCTGCTTTCAAAAGTGAAATTAAAAATAAAACTCTTTAGAGAATTTTGGAAAAGGATTTGAATTGACTTTTGATAGCGTAAGGAATCATACTAACTCGTGAAAATGTGTGACACTCAGCTTAGTGTAAAGCAAATGGGATTTGCAAACATAAAATACAAAAGTAAAAGTGAAATACAATAAAATGTAAATATATTGTAAAAATGTTTCTTATCTTTTTGGAAAGGTCAGTAAAAACAGTCAAAATACCTGAAAAACTGATTTTTAAAATGTACTGAACTGAAAAAAACAACGACCTGAAAATCCATGTTTATCCATTTTTTATACTGCTTATCCCTGTGGGAACTTAAAAAAAAAGTCGTTTAAAAAAAGGTATTTCATACTATATTTTTGAATGAATGGATAAAAAAAGAAATAAAATCAATTAAAAAAGTCTAAAACTATTGTTTTTTTTAAAGGTAAACAACAATCAAAATAAATGGGGAAATAAAATCAATTAAAAAAAGTCTAAAACTATTGTTTTTTTTTTAAAGGTAAACAACAATCAAAATAAATGGATACTGTCAATAAAAAATAATGTAACATTCATTAATTAAAAAGAAAAAAAAACAAGCACCTTTTAATGCACTACAATCATGCAGGTGTCTTTGCCTTAAGTCTTACTTGTCATAATCATCAGGATCCAACGGTTGGTAAGTAACCTTGTAGCACTCGATCCGTTTCAGGAAGTCATCCATGACGCGCTCCCGGTGCCTCTCGGGATAGTCCGGGCTGGACACCTTCACTTCCTGTTTGGAGGGATTTGTCAGCATGTGAATCTTATTACATAATATCACAGCTATAGAGTATGAATATGAAGAAAAGCTTTCAGACTCTTACCATGATATTCGCAGCAATGACCTCCGGGTCGTCACACACGGACTCCACAAAGAACACCTGTTGGCAAAAGGCCACACCACCAGCATGACTCCCAGCAAGACGATACAGAGACACATAGTAGAGTGCCGAATCAGTCTGTGCATCTGCAGCTCTTGTGAAAGTGCTACATAAATATTTATTGTAGAGTATTGTATCATGATAATTCAATGGGGCATTGTAATGTGTTTTCTGGCGTGTGCGTCTTGGTCACCATGGAGATTTGCTAATGAATTACAGAAGACCATCACTAAGCTGCTGCAAAAATATTGGTCATTTTTCAAAGAGGATAAAGAATATACGTTTGTGAGTATTGTTTTATGCTTTGACGCATGTGTCCAAATACAAGATTTTTAAAGGTTTGTAACAACCATTACATTGATGCTAGTTTCATTAGCCTGTCATTGGCGTTTTGCATTTTCGGTTAGCATTAAGCTAGTGGAATTTCACAAGACAACGACAATATGGTTTGATTAAATACAATGCTTTTTTTTTTTTTTTTAAATTTCTGAAAACATGAACAGGGAATTAGGGTTAGGGTTACCAGTGTATTTTATTGATAGTTCAAACACACCTTGAATGCATTTTCCTTCACAAACGCTTGAATGAGGTCACGACGCTCTCTTGTTGTGTTGGTTGCGTCAAAAACCTGACGACAAAAACTCTGTATGGGTCATTCGCTCTGAGCAAGATGTGCTTTTGATGGGAGAGAACAATAAAATGAGAGAAGAATGAAGCAGGACTCACAGCGATTTGACCACCCTCGTCTGTCAGATACACTTTCACATCTTGCAGGGCCACAAGCGCACACTGCCTGAAAGACAGACAAAAGGAAAGCTCCGAAACAAGTTGTCCCGATTTGATGACATAATTGGAAATCAGGGTTTCGCGTTTGTCCACAGATCATTATTGCAAAATGGGGGCGCAGAATGAGATGTGGAAACATTTTGCTTTCAAGGCTGACAGAAAGATAAAAATAGTCAAAAAATAATCTACAAAGCCACACAGACCGCGGGAGGTAACAGGTATCAGTAAGCAGCTCACTGGCTGAGCGGCTTCCCCAGAATTCAGTGAGTGACAAGTGAGCAAATGTGACGCATTTAAGCGTAGCTTCAATTACAATTTGCAGTCTAACAAGTGAGAAGTGTGACAAGCAAACAGGTTGATGATCATTTGAATTAGGTGTGCTGGAGGTGGGAGATGTCTAAAACAGCCTTGATAGGAGCTCTCGAGGAGTGGAATTGGGCACCCCTGATTTAGACAAATGGGTGTTTTGCTGCTGCCATCTTGTGGCGTCCAAACCATTTTGGGGTGTGGTCATTTACTCACAGATTTCCACAATTTCCATGATATTGAACAGAAGGAATATAGTGTGGAAAGTAGGGGCATCCCAATCCAACAGCATTATTTGTCCGACCCCATCCCCTGACCCCAAAAGAAAAAAAAAATTATTATATGGGCCTACATCCAACATCTCAGATATTAGCGCTCATATACAAGCAGTCTATTCCAGACTCTGTTCCCACCTTATAGTAAATGTAAAAAAAAAAAAGATTCCTAATGGCCTGAGGTAAACTTGAATTGTTATTTTTCACTTCCATCCATCCATTTTCTAATCTGTTTATCCTCAGGAGCTGACTTCATGCTGCTGAGGTTGATTTTATGGAACCCAAATGTTTGGAATAAATAGGTCAGATTTTCTCATACCTACTGTTGTTGACCGTTGTTCTTTGTTTGAATAGGATCACTTAATCGGGTCTCTTCAAACATTTCATACTAATAAATAAATAAAATCATGTATCATTCTTGCTGATATTGCATCAGATCAATATCGATATCGGACAGAACTCCAGATGTATTGGAAGAGAAAAGTTCTATGGGGACACTTAAAAACATTTCTTGATCCTTCAGGTATTTTGATGAAAGCATGTTACAGACATGTTCTTCAGACCCAAGCATAATATATGTGCAAAAAGACTACCGGTACTTCCATATTTATTTATAGCTTCTATGTGAGCCAGGGAAAGTCACGCCACAAGTGACAGCTGCAGCTATTGCTTTCATATTTGGGTCATGATTTAGCACTGGGAAAGCCATCCAGCCCTGACACGATATCATGACAGCACTCATACACACGCACACTCAAGGTTGTGGTGTTACGGAGCAGAACTCACTTCCTGATCTTCATGGCCTCCTCGTTGTCATGGCGAAAGAAGTCATAGGACTTGTAGGCTCGGACAGCCTCTCGGCGGTACACGCCCAGATTAAACACTGTGGGGACATGACAGAACTGACATCGACAACGGGTTTTATGTGGAGGCCTCCGGAACTAAATTTACCACCAGCACAATTAAACAAATCCTATTTTTAATCTGGTATCACAACAGAAACATTGAGAGTGTTTGACTACGTACCTTTAGACGGATGATGATCCATAGATTTTTATCAACGTCATACTCAAGTACTTAAGATAATGAATTTTATCCCACGCAAAAAAATAAATAAATAAATAAATACATAAGCATCTCAATTCGGTCTGAAATGATGAATTCCAATAAAATAAATAATTCAATTACAGGAAAAAAAAGTTGAAGCAAAATGTTGCAGTTAGCATGTTCTGTACACTCACATGTATAAATTAATTGGAACAATCGTGGTGAGCCAGGAGGAATTAGTGTGGATAAAACAGAGAATGTTCAAAGTCTGGGATCAGTTCATGCTTAAAAATTGAAGATAAAGTGCAATGTGTCCACTGCAAGTCAGTGATAACCCTCATAGCACAACGATCACCAACACAAGGCATCAATTTTAGCTGATTGATGACAGCCACCCACCGCAAGTTGGAACATATTGTATTGCCTTGAAAAGGACAGACAAGGCTGCTGGTGCACTTACAATAACTTTGTGCTGTTAAAGAAACAGTAAAAATACAACACACCAAGTCAGCACAGTCATGGTCGGGGTTTTAACGGCCATAACTGACATCCAGGCACTCACACAGATGGCTAACGTTTAGCCAATTAACAGAGAGCTACTAACCTGAGCTCAAAAACAGGCAACTCTCCAGTTTCATTCACTGACACCCACATCACTCACCACGCCAGGCACCACCATTTAAAGCCACACACATATTCAAAGTTATAGATATTTCAGTGTAGAAAGTGAGAATGGAGACCGTAAGAGTAAACTATTGTACCGTGCCGCCCAAGAATAATCAATTGTAAAAGTAATTCAAATTAAGATATTGCAGAAAACTTAAAGGAAATCATACGGAGTGAACAATGTAGTTATTTTATTTTTTTAGAATTTGGATGATTATAGTTCACAGTCAATGAAAACCCAGAATTCACCATCTCAAAATAATTGAATACAACATGATAAAGAATTAATTAAAAAAACATTTTTAATATGAAAATGGGGTTAGGAATTGTGTTTTCCTGTGTGTTCAATTAATGTGTATAATTTTTTTTAAATTTGGAAGTTAGCAAGAGTCACTGAAATTAACCTTTCAAGACAATGATGTGGGTTGAAATGTTTGAAGGACAGTGGAATTCTACCAAGTGCTGGTCCAAGCTTGAATGCCCCATGTGACGGCCCCGTGCATGTTTAATTAAAATCAGGGCTATAGCTGTTTCTTTGACATTTGTTCTCTTTGAGGTGCTAAGAGATGCTTAAATCAAGGAGATGTGGAGAACCTGGGCTCACTGCTTCACACACTCCATAGTTACAGTTATACTTGCATTTGTCATACAGTACTTCCTGTCGGGCCATTCAGCCAGGTAACGACACCACCCCCACTAGAAATGCCTCCTTGTACGGCCGCACATGTCACGCAAACCAGAAACCACCACTGTGTCCTACCTTTGGTGGGGACGCCAATCCAGTTGAGGTAGCGTGTGAGTTTCTTGGAAACGTACGTCTTCCCTCGGGCAGGCAGACCGATCATCACAATTACGGTAGGGGAATTTGTCATATAGGACGCCCACGCTGTATGTGAGAGAGGAACAATGTGAAACTACATCAAACACTGCTGAGGTGATAAGTTATCTACTGCTGGGAAAAATATGGAACTCACAATATAATAGTATAGGTGCACCATTTTTTTTAAGGAACCATAAAACATATCAAACTACAGAATATCAAGCACATCTTCCTTGAGATTATCTTCCAATTCAATGTGTTTTCCCTGTATTATTATGGTGTACTCGTTTGCAGTAATTTATATCCACAGTAGGTCAAAATATAATGAAGCTCTCCAACCACAACAAAAACCCACTTTGTTAAATGAGTATCAAAAATATTCTGACGTGATTTAAAAAAAAAAATTAAATCCAACTTCATTTTCAGATTCAGAAAACTTTATCTATCCCCGTGAGGCAATTAGAGTGACATGCAGGTATACCCAATGAATTGACTTACAGCATTTCTTCTCATTCATCCTCACGTCAGCTTTCTTGACGTGGGGGCGCCGGTTCGACATGAGCGATTAAGGAATCGCTTCTGCACACAAATCACAAAACGCTGTGTTATATACAGTATTCATGATATATATTCCTGTTGCTGTGGCAACCCACACAGAACGGTTGGCTACACGAGAAAGGATTCTGCTGCCACATCATCGGCTCGACGACGAGGCGGGAATTAAACTTGGCAACATGCGGCATCTGTCAACGTCAGCACGTCGACAACGGCATCGTTTTTTTTTTTTCATACCTCGTAAATTGAACGTACGGCACCAGAGTCGCTCGCTGGCGCTGGGTGAATGCAGGTCCCGGTCGCACCGTCCTTGGTTACCAAGTGAGCCAACCCGGCCGGTGTCCTTCCAAGCCGACAGACAGAGGTGTGTGGCTACGTCACATCGACTCCCCCCCCCAACAGTACCGTAAAGCTGCTAATAGACGTCCCTCCACACCATTGAGGCAACGGGTTCTGAGATTGACAAAGTTTGACTTGACCAACCTCCAGATGAAGCCACTAATTTGAGCATGAACACTACGCTCAAATATCAGAAAATTGAACTGTTCTTTACTTTAAGAACGATTCTCTTAAAATGTATTGTTCGGTGAAAGAAAATGTTACCTCAAATAATGTTGAAAACCAAAGAGTTGATAAAAATCGAACTCTATTGAGGCAGCTATTTTTTCATGTACCACGACAAAGACCCTGCATGTGTACTGCTACATAGTTTGAGAATCACTAAAATAGTTTATTTTGATTCAAATATTTGAAACAGTAAAGCTTTCAACACACATATACACATACTATATATATATATATATATATATAAATTTAATAAGACCTAATTATTCAATGTTTTTTTAATCCATTGTGTCACCTTATTTAAGGTAGCCTCCATGTCAAGTATTTGCGAGACTTTTGATTTTAACAGTTTTTTACAGTACACATTACATGATATCATTTGTTCTTTGCACTTAATTTTAGCTGTTGTAATTTTTCATTCCTAGAAAATACTCAGTATCCCACTTAATGCTTTATTAGTTAGTGTGTACTACAATACCCTTTTTTAATTGGATTGTTTTATATTTGTAGCCCAGAAGTTTACACAGTATACAAATGTTTACTGCTATGCCAAACAAATTGTGGTTATGTCACCATAGGTAACTGTCGCAAATCGAGCAACCAAACTCCAAAAAAACAGTATCACCAGTGGAGTTGAAACATTTTATTCGATTGATCATTATTATCAAAACAGGGATAACCCTCCCCACCATTCTAAAAAAGTGCATAAACTCTCCTAATATAAAATCCTTAACATGGTTGCATCATTTTTATTTCTTACATTTTATTTGGAGTTTCAATTAAAAAAACAACAACAACAACAACTGGAGTGGTTCCCCAACATGCATTAACCCTCCTCTTATGTTACTTTCTTTGCTACACCAGAAATGTCACTGTGACCCGGTGCAAGTTTAATATTTAAGAAAGAAATCATACTAACGCATTTTGTGAATATTGGAAAATCCCACCAAAAAATCAATGAGTTTTCATAACACTTTCCATTCATTTTCTATATCGCTCATTTATCGTGTTCAGGGTCATATCGAGCTAAAACCTACCCTCGCTGACATCTGGAAACAGATTACACCCTGGATTGGTCGCTAGTCAATCAAAAGGCACAAGAGAGACAGACAACCATTCAAAGTGTCACTGAGTAGGAACTAAACCCATGCTGCCTACACAGACGCCAAGTGAGTGAACCACTTCATCAACGGTGACTGCACACGCAACATTTTACATTTCAATGTATTTGAAAAATGACTAAAAATAAAATTTTATATAAATATTTTAGTGTTTCAAAAACTTCTGGCCCTCAACATTAAAGATGGGTTAAAGTTTGATAAGATGGAAAAAACGTTTTTTTTTTACTGTAGAATCGCTCTACTGGGCTTTTGTTCCCTTTTTAAAATTGTCAAAATAATTTTCCTTGTAGTTTTCTTTGGCTTTCTCCCACAATCACGAAACACGCATTTTAAGTTCACTGAAGATTCTAAATTTTCCTTTGTGAATGTGAATCCTTGTTTTTCTTTATGTGCCTTGACTGGTGACCAGTCCAGACTTTAACCCACTTCTCTTACCAACAGTCAGCTGGCTCCAGCTTCCTTGTGACTATATTGATGACAAGCGCTATAGAAAATGAATGGATTAATTCAACATTACTGTATTGGTATTGCTAAGAAAGGAACATAAGAGATTTTTAAAAAATCCCAACTTGCATAGTTAATTTCATGACAGTGGTCCTCAATGGAGAAGGCAGATAGAGGTCATAGTCTATTAAGACATACATACATACAGCTGAAATAAATAAGAAAAAAAAAACCCTTAGGATGCTCACCTTGTGTTAAATTACTGCCATCATATGGCACACATTATACCACAGGTGACAATACAGTATTTCACTTTCCCGGCTATGTTAAACCACATTAAACGGAATCCAAAATTGTCGTGAGCCGTCATGTGGGGGTCAGTAGTTTTGCACGTGTGGTTAGAAGGCGGGTCTGTTTCCGCTTTAAATGCCGAGAAGGCCTTTTGCTGCATTTCACATTAAGGTTTGATTTTCCACAGCTGCAAAAACACAAACACAAGTAATTGAACTGTCACATCACAGATGAAGAGAAAACAAAAATGGAAGGCATCAACGAAAGCCAGTCTCAGCTAATCTCTCTTTTTTTTCCTTTGACCCTTTTGTGGCACTTAAACCAAAACAACTCAAAGGTTATTCAAAGAGGGACAACTCGAGTAGAATAAAAATATATACAAAAAGTTAGGTGAAACTCATGCATCATCATCAACATTGGTTCTCAAACTTGTTACACCAACTACCACCTAAAAAAATGATTATCCAACTAACACCATAATGACCAACCACTATGATTGAAAGTTAAATACAATTATATTACATTTAAAGTATGTACTGTGTGGGACTAAAAACAGTCTGTATTGAAGGCACCACCACTACATTTAAAAATTCTTCTTGTATACTGGGAGACTCACTCTGATGTTGAAACCCAGCAGGTCGCTGACCACGGCGGACACTGCCGACAAGATGACCACCCTAGTGATGTTGTAGATGAGTGGATTGACGGTCAGGCCGAGAAGGCCGAATGGTGTGTCCAGCTCCTGGCGGGAGGTTCGACGTTAATATTGCTCACACGTCAAACGCTCACTAAAGTACTCTCATGTACAACGCGCTTGCCTTCATCAGTTTGGTGGCCAGTTTCAAGACGTTGTTCACGATGTTAAGCTCCTCTTTCTTGTTAGGTTTTTTCTCTATCTTCAGATACAGATTGATCTGAAAGGCAGACAAAGTGGAGGAGAAACAGTGACACCTGCTGGTCACCTACACTCTTCCAGCCGGAACATGAATTACTCGTACAGTGCTACTCTACTTACGAAATTAATTGGTTCTGGAAGAAATTTCTTAACTAGAACACTTTGTAAGTAGAGAAACGTTTTCCATGTAAATGCCCCAATCCGTTCCAAGCCCCGCCCCCCCCCAAAAAAAAATCAGACAAATGTTTCCTAGAGCATAAAAATGCATCAAAATATGTAACAAATACATGTTACAATTACCAGTAGATTATTGCACAATAAATGAGAGTTGTGCATATTGTAAAAACCAAAAAATAAAAAAAAAAAAAGATGGTCATTTAACTTTTAACTGCATCCTCATCGTTTTTTGCCCTCTTTCGTCCATGTTCTCTCTCAGAAGTGTTTTTTGCCTGGCATTTTGTAAACTGCTTTTGTCGGCTTTTAACTTTTAACAATCCTTCAAAACTGTCCAAGGCAAACATCAGCATAGTGAGCGATCGCCTGACTGGTGAACACTTTTTCTGGGTGATTCACATTTACGTAAAATTATCGGAACGCCTCATGGCCCGATGGGCGAATGACGAGGACGCTGCACAGACACAAATCTATCTATCTACACACGAAGACACCGTTTGAGGTCCCTTTTAGCTTATAGGATGCCAGGATAATGCTCGGTAATGGCCAATGGCATAGCAGCTGTAAGTATGCTGTGTTCAAGAAACTCGGAGCTGCGACTAGCAGGCCATACTGTATTTTTACCTTTTGTATCTAGAAATGTCTTTCGTAACAAGAGGCAATATTTTCCTGTTGAGACGTTTTGTAACTTGAAAATTTCGTATGTTGAGACATTCATAAGTAGAGGTACCACTGTACACTCAAATGAGACCCCAATACAATTGTAGAGAAGAAACAAAGTCATGAGATTTACCTGAAAAATCTGTACTATATTGTGTTTAAAGTAGCTTTTTTTTTTTTTTTTTTTTTTTAGAAAAGAAAGTACTATTACAGGACTCAAGTCATATTTTCTGGAAAAAAGGTCATAGGAGTATGTGTGCGCGGGTATATGTATTTATTTTATTTGAATTTGTATTTATTCCCTTATTTAAATATACGTACTGTATATAGACATGTTAATGATACGATACTGAGATCAAGGAGTAGTCTTTAACAATTGTGATACGATACGTCTTTATTTATATAGCGCTTTCGCAACAGCCACAGCTCACTAATTCACCTGTAGTAGTAGGTGGGGAAAAAAGACACATAAAAATAAAATAGTTTTCCAAAACCTTAGTTACATATTGGCTTCATAACAGGATGGAAATATTAGAAACATCACCGCAACACTGAGATGGTGCAGTATTCTGGGTCAATATTCAAGGCTGCCTCCAAGCTGGTTCCACAGTAGACTTTGTGATTTGCGGGTTCTGACCTGTTCAGTGAGCAGCACTGAGGAGTTGCTATACTTGCAGTTGGTCTCGGAACCCAGTGTGGCGAGCCTAAGCAGGAAGAGGACGAGCGACGAGGCCCACAGCATCAGTTCCCAGTTGGTCAGCGAGTCCAGGAAGGTCTTATGGCTCTGCAAAAGCTTTAAAAAAAACAAAAACAAAAAAAAAACATTAGTGCCAGGAGAAATATGCGCTCAAAACACAGAGGTTGGTAGTCATGTGATACATTTAATTTGCCACATTTATGTCAGTAGCTTTTTGTCTAAATTGCTTTTGTCAGAGTAGTTTTAATGCGACATATTTTTTACCTTAACTAGAATATTTTTGTTGAAAAAAAAAATGGAAATGACAAACGCATGAGTGTGTGTTGTGTTAGGGAATGCGTGTGATGTGTACATACATGTACAGTATGTTGTATATGTATGTTTTGAGAGAGCGCACGTGTGTGTGCGCGCGTGCATGTGTTTGTGTATATTGAACTGAATTGTGCGTGTGTCTGTAGGTCGTGTTTTTTTTGGGGTTTTTTTCGTGAGTCTTCTGTGTGTGTTGCGAGTATGTTTGAGTTGTGCAAGTGTGTTACATGTAGCCCGTGATGTTGTGTTTGTATTGTTGTGTAAATGTCTCTGTCACATGAGTGAGACCACGACCGACATTTGACTCACAGGAAGTCTCCGCAACCCACGCAGAAGCCAAGTTTTCAAAGTTACTAATTTATACCTCACTTTCAATATATCATACATGGCAATGGCGAGTGATGAAAAAAGCGCACGGGGCGTGGCCTGGGCGGGGGCGTGGCCTGGACGGGGGCGTGGCCTGGACGGAAAGTGGCACTAAACATGCTGAAGATGAAGTGTATTAAATTTACACAGT